AAAAGATATTCAGGAACATGAGTTTCTAGAATCTTTTTAATGAAATTTACGTAATGTAAGAAACGCTGTTCATTTAGCTTAAGTTCTTTTAAAAGTTTTATATATGGTGAAATATGTTGAAATCTCGGTACGTTAATAATAAATCTCACACAACTATTTTGAATTTTTTGTAGTTTGATTTTGTCATACTCCGACAGACACGGACCATAGACTTGAGTACAATAATTTAAGTTAGACAATACTATTGATTTAACTAAAATGAGTTTAGTGTCCTGATCTAAAGATTGTCTGAGAGGAGCAAGCTGCTTTAGTTTAAAATAACTTGAACGGCATAATGCAGAAACATGTTGTGAAAAATTCAGACATGAATCAAGGATTACACCTAAATTTTTAACAACACTTTCACAGGGAATTTGTTGTTTGTTAATGACTATTAAGATGAATGTTTGCCGTTAAAGTAGAGGAACCGAATATTATGTTTTTACATTTTTTAGTGTTTAAATAAAAAGAATTGCAAGCAGTCCATTGAAAAATTTCTGCCAAATCTTCATTAATCTTAATCGGAGCTGTTGTATCTTGAGGATGAAAGCTTAAATACATTTGAATATCATCAGCGTACAAGTGCAAGGTACAGTATTTAGGCACAAACTGAATATCGGATATAAATACTGAAAACAAGAGAGGACCTAAAATCGATCCCTGTGGAACTCCTCTTTTAATGTCACGAGTGGCAGAAGTGTCTTGACCTGTGACAGAGTTTATGCGACAAACCTGTTTTCTATTGTGCAAATAATTATTAAACCATTTTAAGGTAGAATTAGTTACACCGTAATAAGATAATTTTTCCAACAAGCAATTAATATCGATGGAATCAAAAGCTTTAGACAGATCTAATAAAGTTAATGCAGTAACGTTTCCCCTATCCATATTACGCAAAATATCATCAACAATAGACACTAGGGCTGTAGCTGTACTGTAGCCTTGACGAAAACCAGACTGAGTCATTGGTAGGATATTTATATTTGAAAAGTACTCTTTAAGTTGTTTATACATGAGCGATTCCGAAATTAATAACATAATTGGTTGTATACTTATCGGTCGTAAGTCATTTAATTCATTAACCTTAGATTGCTTGGGAATGGGTGTCACACATGATGTTTTCCATAGACTTGGTACAATACCGTTTTCAAAGCAGATGTTAATTATATGTGTCAAAGGTGCGCATACGAAAGGTAGCGAGAGTTGTAACATCTTAGCTGATATACCATCATGACCTGTCAAAGAGGGTTTTAACTTGAGAACTACATCCCTTACAGTTTCCTGATCTACAGGCGAATATTCAAATTTGTGGTTTTCAGAAACATTTGCACGATGAAGATATTCACGAAAAGAAAATGAAGCAGAAGTTTTTGGCACAGAGTCAACAAAAAAATTGTTTATAACATTAACATCCGAAAATTCAGGTGGAATAGAATTTTTAAGCTGTTTGGTATTAATAACATCATAGTTTCTCAAATTTGCCCAAAAGAGCTTAGGATTTTTCGTGCAATTCTTCCTAAAATTGAACACTAAAAAATGTCGTTTCTCTTGCTTAAGAACAAAATTATAGTAGTTCCTAATCTGACAATAGTATTTTCTAGCTACAATTGACCGAGACTGACAAAAACAACTCCACGCTCTTTGTTTTAATTTTTTTAAGCGTCTTAAATTAGGTGTAAACCAGGGTCGATACCTTTTATGAGATTTTTTATTAAAAACTGTTAAAGGAGCATGAATATCAAATAAGTTTAAAAGGCAGCAATTAAAATAGTTGACTTTATCATCGATATTTTTGATCACATAAATGCAGTTCCAGTCAATGTTTTTAGCATCATCATAGAATGTTGCTAAATCGAAATGTTTGTAAGTTCTAATAATTTTAACATGTGACTGAGAATTATCTGAAAAACAAATTAGACAATTAACACGGTGATGATCTGAAGGAAGAAAATCAGAAACCCAAGAGCTAATAACATTCATGTTACTGTTAGTTATAATTAGGTCAAGTAAGGATTCACAACCGTCAGTGACTCTAGTGGGTTCGTTAATTAATTGAATACAATCTAACTCATATAAAAGATCCTTAACATAACTACTTGCAGAGTCAACAGTAAGCATATCTATATTGAAATCTCCCAACAGAATAAAATTAGAAAAATTATTTAACAACAAAAAAGTGATTACATCATAAAGTATTATCATATTGGCGTACGAATAACTGGGGGGTCTATAGAACTCACCTACCACTAGACATTGACTACCTACTTTAATTTTAACCAGGATAAAATTAATATCTCCATATTTACTAGTATTATTATCAAATTCTAAAATTTCGTAGTGATAATTAGATTTAACGTATAAAGCGACACCACCACCAAGAGAATTACGGTCACTCCTAGCTATATTGTACCCGGAAACAATAAAGTGAGCATCCGGAATATTAGCTCTGCACCAGGTTTCACTTACACCGATAACGAAGTAATCATTTTCACATACAAAGTTGTAATGAAATCTCAGACAAAATAAAGTTATTATTATTATTATTAGTGGTAAACTGTTATTATATTATATTTTTTTGCAAAAATTTGCACGGTTGGGGAAAAACTCAAATCGGATTCGTACATCACACTTATACGATAGGACTACATTGTTGTCAACAGCTAAATCAAATAGACATAGAATTATTTGAAATGACGTTATCAAATTGTTGGTGGGGAGGAGTACCAAAATTTTGGCTAGCATTTAACTAACCCCCTAGGGGTCATGAAACGTCGAGAAAATATAAAAGTGGCCATTCGTCCGATGGACTACACTTCCTTAGCATACGCGCGGGAAGTAAAATACATAAGAAAGGACTTTAAAGAAGTAGGACTTCACACATTTTAAATGTAGCACCAATTTTCCAATTTGGATACCTCAAACTTTCTTTCCAAAGCGTAAAGGTGTTTTTACATGAGAGAAAATTATATGGGCGACATCCATCGTTTGTTGTTATTATTACAATTAAAAAAACTGCAGTACATTAAAAAAAATTTCAACTTTGAGTTTTTACTTCAAAAAATGACAAATTACAAAAAATAGCAGTTAAGCGGATTGCTGCAATTTTTGTAGAAGCATTTCAGGAAGAAAAAACAATATAATACGTCAAGGTACCTACTCCAAATAACAGAATATTTTTTGTCGGTATTTCAGACATGACGTCACCAGCACTTTTAGCCTTTTCAGTCTCATTCGAAAAAGGAAAATTTATTTAATTTTCTCCGCACATTTTGAGTACTTTTACTACTATTAAATTTTTTATTTCGTGAACGGTATATAAATTAATTTTAATGAATACGTGTTCATTTTTTATTATTAACACGTAGAATTAATTACATGATCTTTTGGTCCTAATTTAACGATCAAACCGTTCCAAAACTACATCCTAAATAGGAAGCAAATTATACTTACAACCAAACGACTATAAAGATTCGTTTACAATCTAATGTTTATAACTTCTGTTACTGAGTTAAGAAAGAGGTAGTCCCGATTAAAAAAAAACAGTCTTCTATTTCTTCCACTGTTTCTGTAAATATTGTATCAAATATTCAACCTATATAACCTCATCTCTGAAATACGTTAGACTAGAATTTTTTAACAAGAAGTCTAAATAAAAACTTCAAACGAACTCGAACAAAATCTTATGTAAAAATATGTAAAAATTAATCCAACGCAAAGACGTTATGCAATTGCGTTAAGCTTGGATTCCTTGAAGCTCTCTAGTTTAATAGCGAAATTCTCAGATCCAATACTCGATCCGTCTAAGTTGGAGAGAGACATATGCTGGAAAACGTAATTTTTCAGCGAAAGAACGGTCTTTTTTCAAATTTAACGACACATAATTCTAAAAGGGTACAAGAACCCATATTGTAACTTGAAGTGTTCGATTCCTTGAAGTTTCGTCGTTCTACGAACAAATTTTCAGATGGTGTACTCGATCCGTTTAAATTGGAGAGAGGAATGAATATCCAGGAAGGTGTAATATTTGAGCTGAAAACAGTCTTTTGACTCTTGACAAGATATAACTCCAAAACCCGCATTGCAATTTAAAGCATTCGATTCCTTGAACTTTTAGACTGGATACTCGATCTGTTTAGATTATAGAGGCAAATATATATCACAAACTGTATTTTGTGAGTTAAAATAAATATAGGTATATTTTTAAAACGGTACAAGAATATGTATTGTGGCTTGAATCAATTGGTTCCTTGAGGGTTCCCATGTCTACCAAAAAATTTCGAAACCGGATACGCTATCTGTTTAGGTTGAAAGGAGGAATATATACGAAAGTGTAATTTCTGAGTTAATATTACGAACATTCAATCCGTTTGAGCTAGAGACACGTACACACAAGAAGGTATAATTTTTGAGTTAAAAACAGTTTTTTTCAAATTTAATGAGACGTAACTATAAACGGTCACAAAGATCCGGTTTGAATAATTCAATTTCTTGAAAATTCTTAGTTCGATAGTTAAATTTTCAGACCGGATCCTCGATCCATTTAGTACGGAGAGACATACATTTAGGAAGGTGAAATTTTTGAATCAAAAACAACCTTTTTTTTAAATAATGAGACATAACTCCAAAGTGGCACAGGGATCCATTTAGCGGTTTAAAGCATTCTATCCCCTGAAGTTTTCTACTTGGATAGTAAAATTTTTAGATCAGGGGCCTATTCCACCATTCACTTTGCAACTTTGCAGTTTACACTTTACACTTTTCAAACGTACTTTGCGTTCCACTACACCCATCATAATTTATTAAGGTAAAGTAAAATGAAAAGTGAAAAGTATAAACTTTACGTTATGTTTTCTAATTTTCTGTTCCACCATTATAAAATTTTAGAAAGTGCAAAATTTACTCATTTTGCAATTTAGACGCAAAGTGGTCTATAAACCTTGCGTTGTCAAAGTGATTGCAAAATGATAAGAAGAATATTGTTTTCAAGCGATGAATCTAGTGAAAATGAAGATGAAAGACCAGCAAGGCGAAAAATATATAAAGAAAGGGTACACGACTTTGATTTTAAAGAGGCATTCAGGTTAAATAAGGTGCAAGTGAAGTATGTCTTAGGCAAAATCGGAGCTAGGTTAGCCCCTGCAAATAGAAGAAACCATGCTCTAACAGCGGAGCAGCAACTATTGTTGACACTACATTGGCTAGGGAATGGGGCCCAGATGCATGGGATAGCCATCATGCACGGCGTAAGAAAATCGACAGTTTGTCGAAGTATTAAGAAAGTTGTCAACATCATCATTGATACAATGTTTGAAGAGGAAGTTATATGGCCAGAAAATACACAAGACATTGCCATGGAATTTTTGCGCAAAGGTGGATTCCCATGTGTCTGTGGATGTGTTGATGGCACCTTAATAAACATCGATAGCCCTTCTAATCATGAAGAAGTCTACGTTGATCGCTATGGCGATCATTCATTAAATGTCATGATGATATGCGGCCCAAATAATTATTTTTATGCAGTTAACGCAAATTGGCCTGGAAGCGTCCACGATTCCAGAGTCTTTCGAAACACCGCAATTTATAGAAGGTTTGAACAAGGATGGAGGCTTTTTCCAGGAGCAGTCATTTTGGGATTTGGGTGACTCAGCTTACGCAACACGACCGTGGTTGATGACTCCTCTCCACAGAAACCCTGGTGCCGAAAATGAAAGGCGGTACAACAACGCCCATAAATTGACACGGAAACTGGTGGAAGATTCTTATGGGATACTAAAAGAAAAATGTCCGTGTTTAAACCACCTACGGGCAAATCCCGAAAAGGCTGCACGGATTGTACTGGCATGTGCCATTTTGCACAATGTTGCAAAAATAATTGGAAGAGAAGATCACTACCCTAATCGCGAAGAGATGAACAACGATAACCCAGACGAAGATAATATGATGCAAGAAAATAATAATCCACCTTTGGGTGAAGATACCAAAAGAAGAATTAATGAATTATTGCGTTACTTTAGAAATTAAATTATTTTCATTAATTGACAAAGTACTTAAAAAGTTCAATTAAATCTAAGTCGAAAGTATTTTTTTCTTAATTTTTACTTCCCGAGCGTAAGCAAAGGAAGTATTGTAATCGAGTCCGTCGGCCGACTCTCTACTTTTACATTTTCTCGATCTTTCATGACCCCTAGAAGACGAAGAAATAGGTCTCCCGTCTGTCTGTCCGTCTGTCCGTCCGTCTGTCCGTCCGTCTGTCCGTCCGTCTGTCCGTCCGTCTGTCCGTCCGTCTGTCCGTCCGTCTGTCCGTCCGTCTGTCCGTCCGTCTGTCCGTCTGTTCGTCTGCCCCCGGATTTTTATTAGACAGATAATCTCCGAAAGTACTCGACCGATTATTGTGAAATTTTGTACTTATATTAAGAATATCATGTAGATGGTAAAACGCTAACCAAAATTTGTCTAATCATCCCCACAACTAATGCGATGACGTCACTTCAAAATTGTACATAGTAAATGGGTTTTCAATTGTATAAAATAACATAGTCCTACACATGTAGTTTACAACTCTGAATCGACTTTTCACCCGAAACGTCCAGATTTTTGGAAAAAAAATCAAAATTATAAAACATTTTGAAATTTAATTTTTAATCTGCTAACCAGAATGCTTTGAAATGTTGCAGATGTTTTAAGGCTATAAAGAGCATCATAAATCTTTAGTCAAAAAATATTTGCTTATCCCCTCCAAAAACTTGATGACGTCAGCTCAAAAGTTTGTGGAATAAATCATATCTAAAATGTACAAAATATGATGAGTCTGTACTTGTGATCTATCACTCCATTCATATTTTTTGGATTTGCATATACAGGGTGACTCAAAAAAATTAATGAATGCGTAAATATATTTTATTGATTTAATCAGGAACTACAAAACCGAATGCTCTGAAATCTTGCAGATGTTTTAAGGTCATAAAGAGCATAATAAATGTTTAGTCAAAATATATTTGCTTATCCCCTCCAAAAACTTGATGACGTCAGCTCGAAAGTTTGCCGAATAAATCATATCTAAAATGTACAAAATATGATGAGCCTGTACTTGTCATTTATCACTCCATTCATATTTTTTGGATTTGCATATACAGAGTGACACAAAAAAATTAATGAATGCGTAAATATATTTTATTGATTTAATCAGGAACTACAAAACGGAATGCTCTGACATCTTGCAGATGTTTTAAGGTCATAAAGAGCATAATAAATGTTTAGTCAAAATATATTTGCTTATCCCCTCCAAAAACTTGATGACGTCAGCTCGAAAATTTGCCGAATAAATCATATCTAAAATGTACAAAATATGATCAGTCTGTACTTGTGATCTAACACTCCATTCATATTTTTTGGATTTGCATATACAGGGTGATTCAAGAAAATAAATGAAAGCGTAAATTTATTTTACTGATTTACTCAGGAACTACAAAACCGAATGCTTCGAAATCTTGAAGATATTTTAAAATTATCATAAGCATGGTAAATTTTTGATCAAAACGTATTTGGTCGTGCCCCCTAAAAAATTTATGACGTCACCACAAAATTTTGCTGAATAAATCCTATCTAAAATGTACAAAATATGGTGAGTCTCTTCTTGTGATTTATCATTCCATTCAAATTTTTTCGATTTGCATATACAGGGTGACTCAAAAAAATTAATGAATGCGTAAATTTATTTTATTGATTTAATCAGGAACTACAAAACCGAATGCTTTGAAATCTTGCAGATGTTTTAAGGTTATAAAGAGCATAATACATTTTTAGTCAAAATATATTTCGTTATCTTCTACAAAAAACTGATGACGTCAGCTCAAAAGTTTGCCGAATAAATCGTATCTAAAATGTACAAAATATGATGAGTCTGTACTTGTGATTTATCATTCCATTCATATTTTTGGATTTGCATATGCAGGGTGACTCAAAAAAATTAATGAAGGCGTGAATTTATTTTATCGATTTAATCAGGAATTACAAAACCGAATGCTTTGAAATCTTGGGAATATTTTAAAGTTATTATAAGCATGGTAAACTTTTGTTCAAAATGTATTTGTTCATCCCTCCTAAAAAAATTGATGACGTCACCCTTAAATTTTGCTGAATAAATCCTATCTAAAATGCAAAAAATATGATGAGTTTGTACTTGTGATTTATCATTCCATTCATATTTTTTAGATTTTCTTAAGAGGTGGTTCAAAAAAATTAATAAAGTCAATTTATTTTATTGATTAAATTAAAGGCAACTCTTATTATTAGTATTACACCCCAACCAACCTAATTTGGTAGACACAAAATTTGTTAAAGGAAAAACTCGGTTGAAACATAAGGGTAGCACGCTTATTTACATCGACTTTAACATTACAGACCTGCATTTGTTTTATGCGTTCACTTGGTTCCGCGAATGTGAAATAGACATGTTTATAATCAACCAATTTTGAATTTCACCGTCAAGAATTAAAATAAAACCCAATGTTTTATATAATAAGCGGAAGTCGAAGCAATAAAACCGATGGTCGTTTTGTTTACAGTTTCTCTGTTTGACTCTCACGTATGCTGTTACGCCTGTCATCTTAAATTAAGAATGTTTATACATACACGATTTTCAGTTGCCTCTGATACGTATACGTGAGTAAATTGTTTCGTTATTGTATTGATTATTACAAATCAATATTCAAAACGACCCAATTCATTTTCCCGAAAATTTGAGAATATAATAATTTTATTCTTAGTATTACACTACATCTATCCCAACTGATATACGTGTCCTTGCAAAAATGTTGATGACGTCATCGCAATTTTTTTTTAAATTCCCACTACAAAAATGTAATGAGAAAAAAAAACACAATAGGCATGCAGTCGTCAAGTTTCCGACAGCGAGGGAAGTACTGTCTAAACTCTTTAGACCAATTTTTTGAGTTTGTTAAAAACAGCCTTTTTCAAATTTCACAAGTGATAACCCCAAAACGATACCAGAGACCGTACTTTGTCTTAAAACAATCGATTTTTTGAATTTTCATAATTCTACGACCAGGTTTACAAACAAGGTGCTCGATCCTTGTGGGTTGGAGAGACGAATATAGAAGAAGGTGTAATTTTTGAGTTAAAAAGTGCCTTTTTCAAATTCAACCAGTCATAACCCCAAAACGGTACAAGAGACCGTAATTTGGCTCAAAGCATTCGATTTCTTGAAACTTTCTGGTTCGATAATGAAATTTTCAGAGCTGATACTCAATCCGTTTGGGTTGGAGAGACGAATATACAGGAAAGTGTAATTTTTGAGTTTGTTAAAAAGAGCCTTTTTCAAATTTAACAAGTGATAACCCCAAAACGATACAAGAGACCGTACTTTGTCTTGAAACAATCGATTTTTTGAATTTTCATAATTCTACGACCAGGTTTACAAACAAGGTGCTCGATCCTTGTGGGTTGGAGAGACGAATATAGAAGAAGGTGTAATTTTTGAGTTAAAAAGAGCCTTTTTCAAATTCAACCAGTCATAACCCCAAAACGCTACAAGAGACCGTAATTTGGCTCAAAACATTCGATTTCTTGAAACTTTATGGTTCGATAATGAAATTTTCAGAGCTGATACTCAATCCGTTTGGGTTGGAGAGACGAATATACAGGAAAGTGTAATTTTTGAGTTTGCTAAAAACAGCCTTTTTCAAATTTAACAAGTGATAACCCCAAAACGATACAAGAGACCGTACTTTGACTTGAAGCATTCGATTTCTTGAATTTTCATAATTCTACGACCAGGTTTTCAAACAAGGTGCTCGATCCTTGTGGGTTGGAGAGACGAATATAGAGGAAGGTGTAATTGTTGAGTTAAAAACAGCCTTTTTCAAATTCAACAAGTCATAACCCCAAAACGGTACAAGAGACCGTAATTTGGCTAAACGTATTCGATTTCTTCAACCTTTCTGGTTCGATAATGAAAATTTCAGATTGGATACTCAATCCGTTTGGGTTGGAGAGACGAATATACAGGGAAGTGTAATTTTTGAGTTTGTTAAAAACAGCCTTTTTCAAATTTAATAAGTGATAACCCCAAAACGATACAAGAGACCGTACTTTGACTTAAAGCAATCGATTTCTTGAATTTTCATAATTCTACGACCAAGTTTTCAAACAAGGTACTCGATCCTTTTGGGTTGGAGAGACGAATATAGAGGAAGGTGTAATTTTCGAGCTAAAAAACCGAGTTTTTTCAAATTTAACGAAACGTAGCTTCAAAACGACACAAGAATTTGCATTGCGGTTCGACGTATTCGATTCCTTAAAGCTTTTGGCGTCGATAATGAAATTTTTAGACTGGATTTCAATCTGTTTGTTACTTATTTGTTTTTTAATATTGTTACATTGGACAAGTATTTTAATATCGGCGTGGGTAAAACTCACCAGTTTGTTTCTTAGTAACTCGAATTTACACGACTAATTACACAGCGATTATGTACAAAATAATTCCGGCTGACTTTTCTTAACATTCGCTGGACTCAACTCGACTAAATAATCTCGTCCCCGAAGGTGGCCTCTATTTAAACCCATACTTCCCTTCTGGAAGTTTCGCAGTTGAGGTCTTTCTGGAATACCCATCACCACTTCTGCTTTCAGATACATATTAGAACCCATAGGAACACCAACTTTAAATTAAAAGAAAAAAAACAAAAGTCCACGAAATACTCACAATTATCCCTGAAAATGACCTCAAATGACCCTTGTGGTAATGAATCTCTAACGAATATACAGTATATCGTTAGCACTGCGACACCACAAAGCGCGAAAAAACCTAAAAATACAATTGTCGGCAATTTACGAAGTTTTTCTCTGAAAAAGACTATGTGTTGAACAAAAACTCGCCTGTCGGCAAAGCTGCTGAAATGTTAACCGAATAGGTTGCCAACTGCGGCAGGCGATTGGATATGAATAAATTCAAAGTATCGCTGAACTGTCTCCGAATAGTTTGAAAATGCAACTACGAGAAA